ATACACACAAAGAAAAGGGGAAAGGGTATTTTCAGAAGCTGGGAGACAGCTCAGTGACACAGCACTTGCCTGGTAAGGCCCTGGGTTCACTCCCAGTACCACAAAACTTACAAAGTGCCCTCATTAGGAAGAATTTTACCACAAAGAGACAAAGAATTCGTTTCAGCTGAATGGTGCCTCCAGTCACCACAATTTTTGAAATGTCTGAAGTATCTACCAAAGACCCTAAAAACAACTGTGGAGCCAGAAATAATGACTCCGGTCTTGTTATCATCCCATCTTCAGAGAGGTAGAGGTTTTCAAAACTATCTCACTCAGCTCTAAACTTGGAAATCGTCTAAGACTTGAGGAAGAAATAAGGAAATAAGGACGTGAACAGGACAGGGAGAGGAAACAGGCGCGAAGCAGGCACTACCTCTGTGTCTTACTTGACTAAGCTCTGAGCTCACCTAACCGGGTTAACTGGCGAGCCTGCTCCCTGGACTGCTGCAAGTCCAAAGAGCATCACAGCCACTGTGGGAGGAGGCTTCACTGTTTTCTACTTGGTTGGAAGGACGGTCCCACTGTGAAGGCCAGTGGCCCTTAAACTCACAGTTCTGCCTCGGCCTCCTAAGCGCTGCTGTTACAGGCATGTGCTGCTAGTGGTGTGGTTCAAATCAACACAAATCTTGACTTTATTAGAGATAGATAGATAAATACATACATACATACATACACACACATACATACATACACACATACATACATACACACACATATATACATACACACACATACATACATACACACACATACATACATACACACACACACATACATACATACACACACATACATACATACATACATACATACACACACACACACATACACACATATACACACACATACATACATACATACACACACACACACACACATACATAGGCACTAAACTTCCCCAGACGTTTCCTTACCAGTAAGATGGGTCCTTATGGTTCAAAAGTTTTAGGTAACTCCAAAAAACACTTTGACATAAGAATAGAGAAAATTCAAATATGTGTATGTGTAAAGGTCAGCGTATCATTTCATTAGACATAGCTGAGGAAAAGGTGGGCCACTGTATACATGTGCACAAGACCACATGTTATTTTCTACAAAGAAATAACACCAAGAACACAAGTTTCAGAAGATCAGCTACTACAGAAGAGGCAGAACAGAAACTTTCTCTTCATTTTCTGTTACAGTTTTCCAAGTAGTCAGCCTCCCAGGTGGTGCACACATTCATTCAGGCAAAACACCAAAACATACAATCAAACTACATCTTAAAAACAAAAAAGAAATTCACAAAATCTGATCACAGTGCATATTGTATTCACACAAGCCTTCTTAGTCAGGGAAATGCTATAGAAAATTAAGTCCATATCTATCCTTTAGCATTTATGGACAGTTCATCTGGGTTTATTCTGGGTTTTCTTAAAATAATGTTGTTGGTTTTTTTTAAATCCTAGAAAGGAAATTCTTCCTGTATGTTCTTTCTAGACTGTAAATTACTTCCAAAAAGCTGGTGAGAATAGAAGGCAAAAACAATCAGCCAACCCACTGGAAGGAGGACAAGTGTCACTGTCACTACGGAACCAAGAACACACATTGCTCCATTCTGGACCTGACTCTACGTCTCACTGCTATTCTCCAGAGACGCAGAAGCCAAGGATGGAACCCTTGCGAGCCCATGACCCCACGTCATGTTTAAGAATCACTGTCAGTCTGTCTGCAGCTGGCTTAGTGAGTAGTCTCTGATCTAGATGCCATCTGATTCTCCTCTACTGATACACTACGCAAATGTACAAAACCTACTCTTAGGAAACTTTTCATGCTACCAGGCATAACTTGAAAATTTTAGAAGAGGGAGCTGAGTAAAATGTGGCTCAATGTCAGAGCACCTGCCTAGGATGTACAGGACCCTGGGTTCAATCTCCAGCATGGGAAAAAAAATCATGTATTTATCCAATAATCTCATAAAGAGATGTTTGACATCCATAAGCAAAAGGTAAATGGACATCATAACTCCAATAAGCAACTTCAGAGCCTTGTAGGGGGAGATAAGCACTGGTGAGGTATGGAGAAATCAGGACTCCTGTACACTGCTAATGGACAGCTTCTACATAGCAAGGCCTCAAAACTTAAAACATATAAGCCAGCAATTCTATTTCTGGGTATGTGCCCAAAAAAAAGGAAAGCAGGGTCTCTCAGCAGATACCTTAACACTCATGCTTGCATCATTCACAACAGCCAAAATGACAGAATGAATAGTAAACAATATGTGCTATATCTACATATATACTGAAATATTGCTCAGAGTAAAATACTGAGACATGCTACAACCTGGATAAATCTTACAAACATCACACTAAGTGAAACAAACCAGTCACAAAAGGGCAAATATTACATGACTCAAAACAGTGACCCTCACAAAGGCATGAAGGGGAACAGAAGTTGCTGGGGGCTGACGGGAAAACAGGGCAAAGAGGACATGAAAAGATGGGAGGTGGATGGTTGTGATAGACACAAAACAATGGGAACACACTTCCTGCCACTGAATTGAAGCTTTAAAGATGGTTCAGAGCTGGGCTTTTAATCCCACTTGTAATCCCGAGCAGTTAATAAAGCATCTACATCTATTTTAACTGTGCATGCTCGAAAGGGGAGAGAGGAGAATGAGAAAAAATGTTGAAATTTTTCTCATGCGTGCCTCTTTACACCTCTTCCATGAATGCTCAGTTCATTTAAGTGACTGCATGAGTCTTAAGGAATAAATGTGGTGATTCAGCTATTGAATTTCTTCTGAACCTAATAAAACATGTAATCTGGGCTGCTGGAAATAAAGTTCTTCCCCTGATAGAGAAGTCAATAGCTTTCCCATGCATGTCTACGTCAGATTAAATGAGTGATGAATCCAGTATGTCTCCTGACCTTTCTATTTACTCCCTAGAATTTTCCTTCATGTTTTTCTTATAACATCATACAATCTAGGCACATTTTTACTAACAATATCTTAAGTCAAAAATCTTCTAGCCAGGCATGGAGGCAAATATTCGGGAGGCAGAGGTAGACAACCTCTCTGAGTTTCAGGTCAGCTACAGAGTCAGACCCTGTCTCCAAAAAAAAGTGTTCTCGCCCTCAAAACTTCCTGGAGCTCATCTTCACTACTTGGCAGGTAGAGCATCCTTTTTTCCTTTCTTCGGTGCTGTGGCTCAAACTCAAAGTCTCAGGAATGCTATGCAAGTGTCCCACCACTAACACCCTCCCTAGCCCCGTGTATCATCTTCCCAGAAATCAGCACTCAGATAGTTTCTACCGATTCAAGTACAAACACTGGGATCTTATTTATGAATTACCACCTCTTTAAGAAAAAGTGTTCCCAACAGGCATAGAGGTACATGCCTTTGATCCCAGCACTAGGGAGGCAGAGGTAGGGGGATCTCTGTGAGTTCAAGGCCAGCCTAGTCTACAGAGTACATTCCAGGACAGCCAGGGCTACAAAGAAACCCTGTCTCAAAAAAAAAAAAAAAAAAAGAGAGAGAGAAAGTAAGCATTCCCATAGAAAAATCAGACACCTGAAATACCCTCAGCTAAACTTGAGAACCATACCTTCTGACTCTACCTACACACTGCTACAAAAATAAGTATGCATTTTGGCCAGGTGTGATGGCACACATCTGTAATCCCAGCACTCAAGGGAGAGGCAAAAAAATCATGACCAAGTTCCAGGCCAGCCAGGACTACATAACAAGACTCTGTCTCAAAAACCAGGGAAAAAAAGGACAGAAAAGAAGAGGAGGGAGGGAGGGAGGGAGGAAGGGAGGGAATATACATTAATAAACTAATAAATCAGGTTATCTGATTTCCTCTGAGCTATTAAAGTCATATCCCTTTCTTCCTCATCCTTAAATACTCAGACAAAATTTCAAATTCAAAGCTTCTAATGTTCCTACATATACCAGCTATTGATCTGATACATTTCAAATAACTCCTATTCACAAACATGAAGCAAACAGATGAAAATTAAAACGGACAGAATGATCACATATTAAAACAAAAAAAATGAAAGGTGTAATTCAGAAAGAAAAAACCTGAGAGCTCAGATCAAAACCTCCCTCTCATATATACTACTGTACATGCAACAGGCCTAGTAGTACACGCCTCTATCCCAGCACGTGGGGAGGACAGGCAGAAAGATCAGCAGCTCAAAGGCAGTTTCAAGAGTTCAAGGCCAGCCTTGGCTACATAAAATCCTGTCTCCAAGAACTGAAATTCCTTGCTCTTAATATACTGTGAAAATTAAAATATCATGCAAGTATGATCACCAAATATTTATATTTGTATTATGTGAAAATGCAAATGCATGTTATTAGTGATAAGCTCTACTTTCTTGATCTTTAAAATTCCATATTTTCAAACTCCACTTCTTTTAATGCAAATTAGTAGTACTATCTATTTTACTGGGGTCTACTTTCCAACAAAGACAGTGCAATTAATACATGCCAATAAGCAAATCAAGAATTTAAAAACACAGACAGGGCCAATGAGACAGTTCAGGAGATAAAGGTTGCTTGCTGCCAAATGGGACCACTTGAGTTCAATCCCTGAAACCCACATGGTTGGAGGAGAGAACCAACTCCCACAGACTGTCCTCTGATCTCCACATGTACATAATGTGCAAGTACACACACACATTCACACACACACACAAATGTTTAGGGAAAGAAAAAGAAACAGACATTTCTGCCATTTAGTTTTCCAGCTTATCAACTGGAGAAATTCACCAATAGGATGATAAGTCTCTTTGGATGAGCCCTTTAAAAAGGAAAACAGGTAGACTTGGTCACATACCGGGAACTTCTGGGTCTGAAACCTCTCAACCCTCCAAGCTACAACGCGTGAAGTTAACAGATATGAAATACTATGCAGACACTGGTCAATGGGAAAGGAAGGAGGTGCCACCTGTTCACGGGGCTTACCTTTCAGCAGCGGCAGAGGTGTGAGCTCAATGGGCTTGCCTTGAGATCTAAACTGTGAGGAGCTTTGCGACCTCTTCTGTCTGGCTTTTCTGACGGACTTCCGAGAAAATCCGTCTACTTTATCCACTGATGGAGGAGTAGTTGGTGCTGAGGACATATCCCTACTGAAGAGAAAGAGGTGACATGAACATGGTTCCAAGGTAAAAGTATTCATATTGTACACATTCTAAAATTCTCATATACAATATTCATGAAAATGGGAATACATACCAAAAAAATCAATTAAGAAAAGTCTTATCAGGGGTAAAAATATAAAAAGTAACATGACCACCAACCATTAAATAAAATCAGAGCTCTAGTGTACCAATCACTGTTCCATTAGAATCATTAAAAAGAAGCTTGCCTGGACTTCAAGTGTCTATACTGTCTACCCATTTTAATTGCATAGCTCTTCCCATCTTGGGAATCGCTAAAGCGATTTTGGAGCTATCCTGAAGCTGGAAAACGTCCATAGAAACATTTTCCCAACATATTTAATACTATGAATGGGCTAAAACCCTTTCTGCACTTCAAGAATCTACACAAATGAGGCCAGGTGTGGTAGCCAGTAATGCCAACAGTCAAAGAGGTTAAGGCAGGAAAGGTTATGAGTTCAAGGCCAGCCTAGGCTACACATTGCAAACTTGAGACCATCCTGGGACACACAGTGAGAGGCGATTCTGTCTCAAAACAACACAAACAAACAAATAAAACTACATCGGTATCTATCTGATGGCAAGGTAAAATGTACAATCACTGACACTTTCTAAACAGGACTTTTGGTGCAATGTGCTGCAGTTGCTATTATGAGCTACCACACTGCAAATGAGGACAGGCTAGATTACTTGAGCGAGAACACACAAAAGGCATAATGAGAATTATTTCAAAGCAGTCTTTTTAAATGAAGCTATCTTAAGTTATTCAAGTTAAATAAACAAAACTATGATAAAACCTAACACCAAGTTGAACTGCAAACAGAACTTCACAGCCTTCCAAGATGAAGCTGGGTCTGAGTTCAAATACTGTTCACTTCCATCAAACCGATGGAATCGACAGAACAGCTTTCTGCAATTTTTTTTTTAATCTCTTGAAATTATTCAAAAGGATAGATGCTAAAAGTCCCAAGCATTAAGCTCAGCCTCATTCGCCAAACTAAACAGATGTCATCATCCAGGTGGCACTGAGGCTCCATGCAAGATTAATGGCAGCCGGATAGCCAGAATGCATACAATGAAGTGCTCAAACGCAGTCACTCGACTGGTACACCAGCACCTTAGACAAGTGCTTTTTCTACTTCCACAGAGTAAGATAGTTGCCTCCCCCATTTCTAAGGCTAAGCAGTCATCTGGACTACCTGAAAAACGTAAGCTTGGGGGAGAGGAGTGAACAATGTTGAGGTTCAGTTTGGACTTTTGAAGACTTCTTGGTTCTTTCATTAAAAAGTTATGTCGTTTTGTTTTGTTTTTGGGGTTTTTTTAACTATAATTTAGCCTTAAATATGTGACAGATAAACACAGAATTGTAGATTATAAATATCGTCAAAAATGTCAGATGACTTTAAAACCTAGTCATCGCACCAGCAAGAAGTTCCACATCAAACTGGCAGGTTGTAAATGTAGGGACGTGTATTGCGATCCGTATGTGACTATTTAGATTTCATTCTAGCCCTGGGAACACAAGATTTCTGCAAACCTTCCTCCATCACTCAGTTGGTCTCTCTCTTCCCCTCTCTCTAACGATGATCTATAGGTAGCTTTCTTTTTATTCATTTGCCTTGTATGCGCTCAGCTCTGAATGTCAAGGATCTCCTCAACTCTAAAGCATTGCAGAACTGATAACAGCGGGGTCCCTGCGAAGCCCAGGGAAACAGGTTTCACCTGGACCACAGCGCCGGGAGCTTTAGCATTCTCCAAACAGCAGGCAAGCAACCGGGGCTTTTCCAACGGGAAGGAAGAGATCAGGGAAGTGGCCTGTTGGTCTGTAGGTATGTTCACATAAACCCAAAGCCCGGGAGAAGCTGCGAGGCCACAGAATCTTCCTCGCTGCTCCCCCGCCCCCGCCAGTGGATAAAAGGGGAGGGAGGGGGGAGAAACGCCTCAAAAGCCGGAGGGAAAGGGGCAGGGAAGGCAGAGTGGAAGAGAGGTGGTGGCCTCCAAAGCCTCTGCAGGTAGATCAGACAAGTGGGCCGGGCGCTTGCTCCCGCGCACCCCACCCCGCCGCACCCCTCGGCCGCCCGGGGCCTGGCCTTCCCGAACCCGCCGCTCGGCAGGTTCGCCGGGAGACAAGCCGCGGGACCGGGAGCTGAAGTTACCTTGAAGCTCCTGGGGAAGAATCGAAGATGATCTGTGGCTGCGCTGGGCGGGCGACAGGCTAGGGGCCGCGGCGGGGGCGGGCGGCGGCCCGGGACGCACAGGGGGAGGTCCGGGCAGCGGCGGAGAGCCCCGGGCTACAGCAGTCCGGGGCGACGTCCCTCCGGTTCCGCGGTGGCGGCGGTGCTTCTAGGCCTCTCGGCTGGCCCCAAACCTCAGCGCTCCGGCAGTGGCAGCGGCGGCCTCACGAGCCTCCCCCGCGGGCCCGTCCCATCAAATCGGTACCGACCCGGTTGCGGCTCGGCCGGTGGCTCTTCGTTCACATTCCCGGCGGGCAGCGCCTCTGCTCGTTGCACCGGACCCGGCGGCGGCGGCGGCGGCGGCGGCGGCGACGCGGGGAGGGGGGAGGAGGGAGGAAGCCTGGATCTGCAGCGGCAGCGAGCACGGGAGTCGGGAGGAGGAGCTGGAGCCGCCGGAGCCGCCGCTGCCAGAGCCGCCGTTCGCTACCCGCGCAGGGTCCCCGTCAATGCCCCTTTCTCTCTCCTATTGTCAATATCACCGGGCGGCTGAGTCCATGGCACACGCGCAACCGAACCTCCTGGCTGGCAGAGCCCGCCTCCGGCGCCCGCCCACTGGAGACTTCAAACGGGAAGCGAGACTTCATTGGTCCGCGGGCGCCTTCACTCCCCGGCCAGCACGTTCGGCTGAGATCTGATCGGGGATTGGCGGCGCGGGGAGGGGCGGAGAAACGGGAGGGGTGTGAAGAGACGAGGCCCTTGATTGGGCGAGGCGCCGGGGGGCCCCGGATGCAGCCGCGAGCTCGGGCGGCGCGGCCGCCGCTTCCGCCAGGGCGTCTGAAGTGGGGGAAACTGCGGCGTCGGCTGGGCCCGAGAGGAGCGCGGCGGGCGCGTCCGGAGCTGGAGCTTCCGCACGGCGCGACCCCTGCGGACGGCGAAGCGTCTTCACTGGGGATTCCGAGAGCCACAGTGCGGCAGCCCCGGTGCCCCACGGTTCAGCCCGGACCCCCGCGCTTCCCTGTACCACTCCGGGTCGTCGCGGCCGAAATACCCCTCAACCGGTGGGAGAGGCCTGGCCACGGGTTGGACTCTCACCTGGTCTCTTAACCCCCCCCAAAAAAAAGTCAGTTCTGCTGCTCAGCTCCTAATGCTCCTGCGGATCCCGGTGGAGGCCCGCGCTCCGGGAGCTCCTGCAGATGGGGAACGCTGTCACCAGCCTGCAGCCTCGCATTCAGATCAGCCGCAGTCGCTTGTTTCTGGGCTCCGAGATCCCCAGCCCCCGACTTGACATTTTAATTGACAGTTGGGAGTCTGGAGTTTAATAGAGATGACTTATTACCTCTATCTAGAACGAGTACTAAAATACTTTACATGTGTGGTTTTTGCATCGTTGGTGAGCCCTAGGCCAAATGGTACATTTCCAGAGAATATTCTTAGACTGTCAGTCAGTTTGAATGCAGGCTGCATACATTCGTTGTGGAAAAGAAATAAAAAAAAATCCTTAATAACTAACGACAAGCATCAGACTACCAGTGGCTCAAAATTTGGAAAACTGAGAGGGGGACATACAGAAGAAATAATAATACGCACAATCCATCAACCCGAGCTAACCACTACCATTTTTTGTTGTACTTTTAGTATTTTTATCATTTCATATATACATATTACTACAATTTATATATAAATATATATTTATATATTATAAATATATATATTATAAATATATATATTCTCTTTCAAACTAGAATGCTTCATTCCGTAGCCTACTTTCCCTCTCAGTATCTTGTCACGTGTTCTGTACAGTTAGGGAACACACACATACACACACACACACACACACACATGTGTGTATGTGTGTGTGTGTGTGTGTGTGTGTGTGTGTGTGTGTGCATATATATATATATATATACATATATATATATAGCTCTCTATCATATGCACAAGTGATAACAATCCATTCGTGTTTCTCGTTTGTGTCATTTGTTGCAAATTTCTATCCACTTGGATAGAATTCTGTGCTATGAAAGAGACTGTTACTGCCCTGAACTGAAATGGGAAACACGGAAAGATGGCTTAAATGAAGGCAGGCTCCCCCTATTGACTCCAGACAACCAGCTGCTGACTGGCTGAGTGTCCATTTTTGCTCTAATAAAAGTTCATTACCCTAGGCTGCATACTTATATAGAATGCCTGTCTAGTTCCTGCCTTCAAGTAACTTATACTCCCATACCTCAGTCTTTAGAAATGTTTAATATCCTAGCCAAGCAGAGCCTGTTTCCTCAATGTCTGATTGGTAAATGCAAAATTGAAACGAAGAAAAATTTTGAAGCCAGCTCAATTTCCCTTGGCAACAGTTGAACCGTTAAAAAGTAGTGCACGTTTGAAAGGCTCACAGCTGTTGCTTAGAACATTTCACATTTTGTAGAGTGAGGATTTTGCTTGCAAATTATGGATGTCTATAAAGACAATTCATTTCAAAGTCATTTCATTTTCTATAAAATAGCTGAGCAACTGAATTGAGCAGGTCTTTTTAATGTGGAAACATGCTTGCTTATATGAGGTTTTATTCTCTGGACCAACAATTTCATAAGGAGATCCCAGGGGAAGTGGGGTGTACTCCAAGGATAGTGCAAGGCAATCCACTAGCAATGCAGAAGAAAAAATAATGAATGCGTCTATGCTTAAATTTAAAAGCCATTAGGCTCAATATTTTATATACAGAATGAATGACCCATGGGCCTAGAACAGCATAGATATCCTCCGGGAAAGGCAGGAAGTGTGCATCCCCAGAGGATAGCAGAAAGGGTCTCTTCTACCTGTTGTGACATCCTGTGCTTGCTGGGTTCTATGATTATATTATCTAGGTCTAATTAAACTAAACCCACAAAGCAGACAAATGGCCTTGCAAGAGTCTCACAAAGCACAAAACAAGCAAATACTAGAACTGAGACTGCCATTATAAAATCTTTGACAGCCCTCCTTCAGAGCTGAAATGATAATCTAGTAAGTCCAACTGTATTTTAACTTAAATAGCAAAAGTGTCAAAACAATTTTAAATGTACATTTATATTCACCACCACCAACAGTGAACTATATCCCATGTACAAGTGGTATGACTGATTCATAAGATAATGAAGCTAATGTGTGCCTATTTTATGAACAAATATACATGTATTTAGAACACGTGCTCCCAAAAATATGCTGATGGGAGCGCGTGAACAAAGGAATTTTGATACTGCTATTCTAGATAGGGAAAAAAAAAACATTTGATAATGTTGTCCCTCCATTATCAAGTTGACAAAATTCAATTCAGTTTTACCACACAGAAGCATTCACTATCCAGATCTCAAAGCTGAGCTTATCAGGAAGCTGTCGGCAGCTTGACCATGTGATTAGAAGACACGGGGTATCAAGTTGTAGCTAACTAGTGAACTACAGAAGTGCTAAGATGAAGGACAGCATCATAGAACTGGTTATCTATTAGACATCTTCAGAGAGAAACTAATCCAGTTTGGGGGGGGATGAGGGGGAGAGGCAGGAGTACATGAAGCTGGTTACAGCCTGAGGCAAGAAGCCTGGGAAAGCTGTGGTACCGACTCCTTTCTTAGGACGACATCGCTACTGTGCCTAAGGAACTGATGTCATATTTCTTTGGGCTGCCTTTATCCACTGGGAAACACCCTCGGCAATGCCATTTCCTTGAGTCATCATTTTGATACTGCAGTTACATTTTCAGATGTACTTCAAAGGTTGTAGCTCTTTTACAGCTTTCTATGTGGCTAGGGTGGCTAATTATGGCTTAAGATTTAAATGGTTAGGTGTCCTAGTTCTCTACTTAGCAGCCTGAGCTGTAATCTAAACTGATAGAAGTGACTGTCGGAGGACCTTTGCACTTTCTTATTCTGAGTTCTGGGACGGATCCAGGAAGGGAGAGAGAGGCTTTATCTCTAATGGGGAAGAAGGGGAGGGGAAGAGCTGGGGACATGAGTCAGTGCCTGCCCTGAAAGCATAAGGCCTGAGTTCAGATCCTCTACACCCACATTAAAAAAAAAAAAAAAGAAGAGAAAAATCTGTATGTGGTCATGTGCATCCGCAACCCTAGCACAGGGAGGGCAGATGGGTGGATTCTCAGACCTCACTGGCCAGCTAGTCTAGCCAACTGGTGAGTGCAGGATCCAGTGTGACACCTTGTCTCTAATCGTTAAGTGGACATGCCAGAAAAGACCCGATGTTTACACACACACACACACACACACACACACACACACACACGAGAAAACAAAAGAAAGGCAGGCTTCAAGTATACTTTATTTGACAGAGAGTAAACCACAAAATACTGTATCCACTTGTGAAATTGTCAGTTTGCACAATTAAATGATTTCGGAGCTATACCTAATTATAAGCATAATGAGACTGTAGACTCTGGGGTCAGAGGTCATCCAGCTCCGCCCCAGCCTTGGTTTCCTCACAGATAAATAAGCAGACTCAGTCTTAACTCAGGGCTTAGTCTTAGACTTACATGAGGTTCTGTATTTACTACAGTGCCTGGCATGGTAACTGTTCAATAACTAATGATAACCACAATCATCCTTTCCCTTTTTAAGACTCTTTACCCATCTGGAAACTTTTAAGTTTCCCCCCACTGACCTTCCTAATTTTATTCCGGCATACCTCCAGTGACAGGAAGAAGATAAAGAGCTGGGAAAGGAAAGACATGCACTTCCATGCTAAGTGATAGAATGTGTGTGGGAGCATTCATTAGCAACAGCAGGGTTGTGTCTTACAATATCCATATATTTCTGAAAGTTTAAAAAAAGATCAATTGGTCTCTGTCTTCATTTCTAGGAGGTTCCAACTATTTTTGCTCTAAGCTCACCTGTTTCTCTTCCTTACTGTAACTTGTAGAACTGTACTAGGGGGCTGGGCATGGTGGCCCCTAATTCCAGCAGTTGCGAGGCTCTAGGTGGGGGAATGGTAAGTACAGACCAGCTCATGTTACAGAGTGTGAGTCTGAATCCAGCCTGAGATCCTGTGTGACTTTTTCCAGGGAGAGGTGAAACAAATTTACCCCCAAGTGGGGCACCAGGGCAGGCCAAAGAAATGACTCCATGAGGAGGGAGAGTCA